ATCACTGCTCTCCACTTACGACCTTTGTGATCGGTTATTACTTGTGGTCAATAATCGACATAGTTCCTAACTCATTCCCATCTGACTTACGTACAAACATCATCATTGCTCACCATTATAGCTTACGTGATCGACTACGACCTAAATGATCTACAACTAAAGCAAATACCTACTCATGCCCATGCGACCTGCGGATGTCGTCACTGCTCAGTACTATGACCCACATGACAAGCTACAACCGAAGTAGTTCACAACTCGTGCAGTTCCTAACTCATGCACATGCGACCTACAAACGTCAAAATACCTTACCAATACATCCTATGTCACTAACTACGACAACCTTCATGGCATAAAGCTCATGCAACTCTTGACTCTGGCCTCCAAAGCCTATAAGACATTATCACAACTCACCATTATGACCTATGTGGTTAACAACTCATAACTCCAGCCTCTGCGGCCTACAGACGTCATCATAACTGACTACTACGCCCTACGCGGCAAACTATGACTTACGTGGAGGCTAACAACTCCACCCCCCCCCCCCCCCCCCCCGACTAAACCTCATCAGTATAGCTCATCATTACAAATTACGTGACTAACTACAACCTACGTGATTCACAACTTGTGCAGCTCTCGACTCTGTGCATTACAACCTATGGACGAAGTTGCAACTCAACACAATGGATAGGGCGAAGCAGAGCCAGAGAGAGCTCGAGCTTGGCACGTGTTCAACTCATTCGAAATTGGCTCTTGTTCAAAATGGCTCGTGAATAGTGTGTTCATGTTTGACTTGATTTACATATTCATGTTCAGGTTTGGGTCGAAATTGACTCGTTAGAATACAATTTTTTTAATAATAATTATTTAAAAAAATTAAAATAATCATTAAAGTGATGCAGTATAACTATTTTTCCTAACTATTTTGAACATAAAAATCAATGTTTAAGTTTTAATATTGTCTGTTTCTACTATTTATGATAAAAATTACTCTAATTTTTACCCATTATTCTTGTATTCCACTATTTCGGTGCACAATAGCCAAATCACAACACAAATGTAGAATAATCGATTCAAGCATTTTCAATATTAGCTAAAAAGCCTTATGAGAACAAGTGAAGCAAAATGGCCAAATCAGAGCACAAATACACGATAGTTGAATCACAGTTCACAACAAAACCCTTATATCAGATCTCAGCCATAAATAAAAAGATGTAGAGGCAATAAATTAGATTTCACTCCCAAAAATTTAAAAACTAGGTTTCACTGAAAAAATCTAAATAAATCTAAAAGTTTTAAAAAATTCAAGCAAAGAGAACATGAAGAAAATTATGAAATACTAAAGAAGAGATGCTCAAAGATAGCACCTGGATAGCCTTACAAGCAACCAAGCATGAATAACGAGCAATTACAAGGCAAGAATACCGAGCAATCGAGTCAACGATAACGAGCAATTACAAGGCAAGAATACCGAGCAATTGAGTCAACGTCGAAGACAAAGAACTTTATCGAAGACAAACAGAAGTAGAGATTAGCGAACAAACAAAAAAGACAAATTCTAAGCTCTCGCGGTTGAAAGCCTTTCACAAGTTTGGGAGGAGGAGGTGAGCCTAAGGAGGCGGTCAAATGCCTTTCGCGATTTTGAGAGGAAAAGAAGGGGAGGTCGGGTAAGGGTTTTTTTTTTTTAAATGTATAATGTATTATATTAATTATATTATATAAATATATAATATTTATATAACTATTACTAATATATTATCATTATAATTAATCTATTATATTATAGGATTTAATTATTTAAAAAATGATTTAATTTAAAATATTAATTAATTATAATTTATAACATTTAATTTTTTGAATATATATATTCGAGCCAGATTGAGACGAACACAAATGAATAAATGTTTGTTCGTGTTCAACTCACTTACATTTCAAGCTTAAAAAATTATTCGAGTTTGGCTCATTAGGCTTAACAAACGAGTTGAACACGAGCTACTCAAAGAGCTAACACGAGTTGTTTGTAAATGACAAGCCAATTTGACAACCCTAACTATGGTTTGTGTGTCCAAGTGCAGCCTACATGACTCACAGCTCCTGCAGCTTTCTACTAAGATCTCTGTGGCCAACCGTCGCTTGTGAAGAAACTATATGTGACTCACACTATCAACTACTACTATGATTTTCAACTAAGATTTATACGACTTTGGTCACCTTCTCTATTTTATCATCAAGAACAACTTTCATTATAGTTAAATTGTAGCTATTATCAATGAATTACATATATTCATTTACAATAATCATATTTATAATTCTATCTTCTGTAATTCATGAGAAGAGTGAATTCATACACTCAAAATTATATAATAGATAATTTCAATTGGGGCATGCCCAATGGTTTTTTTTCTTTCCAGAATTTTTTATCTTGTTTATTTTTCCTTAATTACGTGAGTGTGTCAAATTTTCATACAATATTAAGATGATAAATAATCACTCTATTATTACGGACAATTATTTTGGTATTTGCTCAGCATATGTTTGTCTAAATTTTCTTTTCAATAATATTTTTGAGGTAATTTTTCAAACTGCTTTTTATCAGAAAAACACATTATTTTAGTTTTTCAAAAATTAACATCGAATGAACGAATAAAAACTACTAGAAAGTTTAAACGTGCAGAGCCGTAAAATACAGAATAAATTTATTTCTTATTTAATCGATCCATGTTGAATTTATTTGAGCGGATAAAATATGTTTTAATTTTGGCAAAAAGAAAAAATAAAAAACTGGGTAAGAGAAGGCTTGATATACTGTTTCGGTGTTTGGTTGGGAAAAAACAGCTAGTGTTGGAATGTTGCTTACGAGAGACATTTCATTAATCCAACAAAAAGTCGGTCGCAGGAAGTTATCGCCGCAGCGTCGTCGTCACCTTTTTACTGCCGACGGCCGCTTTTCTCGCCGACAAACCTCCTCCTTCTATGCTTTAATTATTGTACATATCTATGATCACCTTTAAATATATTGATTACGCTGACTTCATCATTGACTTGAAGGTTGTTCTGGGTCTTTAGCAGGAGACATCAGTTACAAACCAAGCGAAATTATCACTTGTTTATTGTTATTTTTAGGAAACATATCAGAATATTTATCTAATTATATTGCTGTCAAATTGTTTTAATTAGTATATGTATAAATCAAAAATTATTAACACGAATCTTAGACAAAATGAAAGACTAAAATGAAAGAGTCTCCCCCTCTTAGGTAAGCATTCAACCGATAATTGAAGGTCGTATCTCCAAACTCGAGATTGGTTCAAGCTTTGTGGATGGTTGTCGCTCCACAACAACAAAACCCGCTGAATATAAGGCGTAAATCATTCTGATAGCGAGTCTCGTCGGATACCCCACATGAACTTCTAGCCAGCCAACCCGCCAATTTCCGCCATTGATGAAATTCAAATTTTAATGTAAATATGACATAAAATTTATATAATCAATTAGAACATTAATCACATTAAGAACAATTATCATAATCTTTTCCTTCCTTATATAATTTTATAAAACAGACTTCTATAAGTACAAGACAAAAGGTCGAGACTTTTCTCCATTGATTTTTCCTATAAAAATTCTCTTATTCACTCACCTCTAACCCTCGGGGTGTGTTGACAACGAAAAAAATAGGATCCAATAGTATAACTAATTCTTTATATTTATCATTCAATTCATTAATCCACACACACACAAATATATATATAGTAATGGATTACCGTCTTAGCGTTGCACGATGATTCACCACACACTCAGATGAAAATGAATCAACATGTGATGACACAAGAAGTTTTTACGTGGAAAACCCGTAAAGAGAAAAAACCACGGGGCCTGAACCAGTTATAAAAATCCACTATAAGTCGGCGATTACAGAGACCCCTTATCCCACAAACTGGAAAAAGTTACTAGATTTTCCAAGGTAGAACGTCGACTAACGATATCTAGTTGGTGGTGATCGACGTAGGTCGACGGTGGTCGCAGACGGTCGGTGGTTGATAGAGGTCGGTGGTGATCGGCGGTGGTCGATGGTGGTCGGCGGTGGTCGGCGGTGGCAGAGATTATGTTGGACTTGAACTCATTCTCAAAGTCTCAAGTTCTCTCTCAAGCCTCCCCCTTCATGTGTGGGGTGGTGCTCTATTTATAGTGTTTTGTGTGCAATTAATACAAGAACACGAACCATTTCGATCGGACGGTCCGGAGAGCTTCCCTCGATCAAATGACGTTTGATGGACATTTGAGTGCTTTAACGATATCATAATCGAGCAATATTGGGCTCGTTGGATTCATCTTGTTGATTCGACTATGAGCTCGTTGAATTCGACATTCGTTTGATCTTTCGATTGTGTTCGAAAATCTCGGAAATCTTCCAAGAATGATTTAATCGCTTGATCTGGGCTTGATTTGACTCAGATTGGACTAACTTTCATATTATTAGGTCCGTCTCATTGAGTCATAGGTCCGTCTCATTGAGTCGGTCAATTTGACTATAAGTTTGCTAAAATTGAAGCTCTCGATAATTTTTTTATCAAGATTCGAATATTTTTTGCTCAAAATATTGCCTTGAGATTCGTGTCGGATGTTAAAAATTTATCGGTGACGTATCAATATATATATGTATGTATGTATAATAGTATATTTTGACAGTTGGTCTGTGAAGCAATGCTGGCAGATAAAAATCTAAAAGTTTAAACTTTGCCGAAAACAAAAATTGTTGGAAATTTAAATGCTTGAAAAGCAACAATAATTTACAGAAGAACATAGGAGTCAGAGCATGCCAGCCACTGCAAAACCCCAATCGGACGGAAATGAGGGCACCTTTCTCCTCCATGAAAAAGTGGAGGAAAAAGAAAAAAAGGATAAGCTTATGGAAGCAAAAAAAGACCTCAAAAAGAGAAGCAAAACATAAAGAAAATCTTCGAGAATTTAACATATATGGAGCAACCATCAATCACAGCGATCAGCTAGCGAGAGAGCTGCTCCAAACTCCTCTCTGACGCCGCTGACAAACGACGAACCCACCTGCAAGCAATCGCCGCCGCCGATCCGAGCCTACTTTGCCGCCTAATCACAAAACTGCTTTCCACAAACTTCCTAAGCCGCTGTATGGCGATGTCGAGCGTAGCCTCCGTCATGTTTGCAAAACAAACCCTAAACCAACCAGGTTCGGCACAATGACAAGATGAACCGGGCGATATGTTTAGCCCAACATCGTAAACTATCTTCTTCCAAAGCTCCATTTCACCATCAAAACTATTTTTTGTAAGCAAATGACGCATATCAACCCAACAGAACAACCCTGCATTACTCTCCAAACACTCTATACCATTCATTCGAAGACCATTGACTAGCATGTTATGTCTCTCCCTAAGCCTCTTCTTATTCTCCACAATGTAGTTTCTTGTAAACTCTTTATCTCCGAGCATCGTGGCAAGAAGGTGCTGAGTCTGCGAAGAAACGAGGCCAAAGCTCGACATCTTGGTGGCAGCTTGGAGGACCAGATCGTTGTCGGAGTAAATGGCGCCGACGCGAAATCCCGGGAGGCCGAGATCTTTGGATAAGCTGTAAACGATATGAACTTGGTTGGAGAGATGGGGGCGTTTGACGAGCACTTGTTTGATGCTGATGAAGTCTGCAGGAGCGATGAAATTAGTGCCGCAGTAAATTTCGTCGCAGATGAGATGAAGGTTGTTAGCTTCAATAAAGTCGACAAGGGTGTGGAGCTCAATGGAAGTCATGGTTGTGCCGAGAGGGTTGGATGGGTTGGTGATGACTATTCCCTTGACTTGAAGTTTGAGTTTGGTGGCTCGGCGGTAGGCGTTGTCGAGAGCTGTTTTGGAGAGGCGGAAGGAATTGGTGCTGGAGCAGCGGATTGGGATTATTTGGGCTCCAGTTCGCCATTTGAGGTCACGGTCGAAGCCTGGATAGTATGGAGTGGGGAGGAGGAATGCGTCGCCGGGGTTGGCGAGGCAGAAGACCAGGGTTTCGTTTGCGGAGGTGGCGCCGGCGGTGAGGACCAGTTTGTTTGGATTGAAGCTCACTTTGTTCCCCCTCAATTCGCTCATAAACTCAGCTAGTGCCTGCATCCATTAGTATGTAGGAGCATGCACTTAGAACGCTTCATCACTAGCTACTTATTTTTCATTTTTTTAACTATATAAATTAGTATACTTTTGTCATCATCTTTGATATATATATATATATATATATGTTATCGTAGAAATAATATAAATTATGATGCATAAATATAAAAGATTTATTAATTCATTTTTTCTGAGTTCTTCGATTCTGTAAAAAAGCGAGGATGGACGTACAAGTTTGAAAGCTGGTAAACCATGGTAGTCCTGGAAAAGAGCCAGTTCCCGGAAGAGTGACGAACTGCCGTTGCTAATCTTGAAGTCAGTTGCGTGAGGGTGGGAAGCCAGCCACGTCTCCAGAAGATCGAAGGAGAGCTACGTACATGGAGCAAAATAAATTTAGTTTAATGTATTTTATAAAAATCTAGAGAGAAAGAGTTATTTAGATATATATATATACATATGAATTTATGTATATACCTGATTCTCGGCCAGTCCCATCTGAATGATCCCGGAGGGGTTGGTGATAGGGTGATAAGGGTTTCTCTGGTACTCTTGCCAGCCCAGGAAGTAGCTGGAGTCTTGGCCATCCAAACCGCACGTGACCTTTCTCGACAGGAGCTTAGTAGGGTTCATGGTTTGAGTTTGGAGAGAATATATACGATATTTATATCCAAAAGTGTGAGAAAGAGATGTGAGAATGATACAACGCTTTGAGAAGAAAACTATGAAGAGTTGAAGGCGATGGAGGAAGTTAAGGAATGAGAGAGGAGAGAAGCCCTGTTTGAGATGCCTGTGGAGTTTGTTAATCGGAAGAACTATTGGGAGCTATATATAGAGATTTTGAAGTTATGAAATTCACTGTGATCTTTTTTTTATTTCTTTTTTGTTGAGCCATACAAATGGTGATGAGTATTAAGAGAGAGAGAGAGAGAGGCTGCCTGCGCAGAAAGTGTATTTTGCCAACTAGTTACGAAAGCAAGCAAAAGAAATGGGTATTTAAGCGCAGGAAGAAGCTGCCGACAGAAAATGAAGAAAAGCCGAGCTCCATCTTTTTGAAGACTAACCTACATGTAACTGGATTCGACACCGCATTCCCTTTTCGTGCAACTACTCACCGCCCTGCCCTGTCTTTCCAACACAATCCCCCATAATTAACATCGCCAACATTTTTCTTTTTTCTTTTTTTCTTACTATGTTTATATATGTTTGAACAAATTTGATTGTAACCTTGGCTTCTTAGATCACATACTCACCAATTTATGGATGCAGCTAAAGCGACCTCATTCATAGAACCGGAACCTAATTAAAGTGAGCTGACGAAATAAAAAAAATCAAGAGATGGGTGATATCTTTGTTTAAAAAACTTTCATTTCCTTATTAGTTTTTAAAAATTATTGTTATTTTAAAAATATAATTAGTATTAAATTATTATTAAGTATTTTAATGTTTGGGAACCAGATTCTTAATCATATATTATACGACACTAAAAAGTTTATTAAGAATTTAGTGGCAGCAAATGACCCCCTCAGCTCTCCCCTGATCCCAATACTGCACCTAACCACAACAGTAAGGTGGGCTACATAGAACTCTATTTTCAAAATTTTACAAGTAAAGCTATATCAAAATTCAATGAGATTGTTAATATTGTCTAATGATTCTTGAACGATCTATACTGAAATGTATTCTTGCACTAACTATCTTCTATAAAGTAATCATTTGACATTTTATATACAACAAATTGTGTATTTCAAATATTCACAGCAGGCATGTGGAATAAGATCAAATTG